AGTTTGAGACCAACTTAGTAATATGAAGACACCTTAGCGAAATTGGGAAAGCGTGTACGCAAAAGTTACATCAATCATCTGGGACAAGAGCACTCGTCGATCAATTTACACTTCATTGTTTTGGGGATGTCGACAAGATTCATTTCTTATGATATGGCGAACCAAATCACAAAATCAATATTTTGCTTAGGGAATCCTGGATGATTATTTACGGGTCCACCCTATTACATGTACTGACGGCTCAAAACAAACTCGTCACCCATCGAATATTGATTTCGCGAACTTGACAAATAATAACTCGACAAACTGTTTTTGTAATCCTAATCCATACAAGCGATGTATATGCATCCGATACGCAGACCATATATTTGTTGGAAATGCAACATTAAATATTCAAAAAACTTACCTTTAAAGTTCGAAAGCGATTGAAGGTTAGGATTAATTCTAAAAATAATTCTTTAGAGTTCAGAAGTACTTCGATCTAGACAGATGTAAACGTGAAGTGCAGAGTATTCGGTATCGGCTTTTATTTAATTTTAATACGCAATACGACTGTAAGATGGGGGTATAGTCATTTTGTTTTTTTTTTTTTTTGTAATGTATGTAAGATCGGAAAGGAAGCATCAGAGCTTCAGTGTGAAATTCTGAATTGATTTAGCGATGTCTGATCGTCTGTGCGGTGTTTGTGATTGGCACTCTCCTGGTCGCAAAAATGAAGATATCGATTTAAAGTTTGGCAGAAACATTGGAAGTTCTTGCATGCAGGTTGCTATTGAAAATAGGCTACAATCGTCAGCGTAGAAGCCGACAGTGTAGCAACTCCGTTTTTCTTAACAAAAATTTGTGGTTTTCTGCTCTTCTGCTTTACTCAGAAATTATACAAGTGAGAAGATCGAAATTTTCTACATTTACTTTACGAAATATTCCACCCTTTACGTGCAAAAGTGAAGAAAATCGGCCAGGCCCACACAGACTTACAAATGATTAAATTTTGGTGGGGTTTTATGTTTATTTAGCATAAGGCAGAGGAGACAGAATGTTTAAAACTACTTTGTACATTCCTCAACTGAGGAATGCCTAAAAATGGGTTAATTCTAAAGTGAATATGGTGGAGACCGCGCCTTGGTGCTTTAAGTTTATTTTAATAGTACCAGCGATATGGGTATCAAATAAGAGAACTTGGAGAGTAGCACGGGTAAAGCGTAGTGATGGGTATGCGATATTCGGTCCCCGCCGAATATAACTTTCTTACTTGTCGTTTTCTAATCTGTTTTTCTTTTCCTCTTTGTTGCTACTTTAAATGTATAATGGCCGTGAATGCGTGTATGTTTCTATTTGATGAAATCAACTGATGGCTAGTTAAACTCATCTTTATTGCGTACGAAGGTAAATGTATTTTTTTTTTTCTTTTTGGTTTTTGAATTGGCATTTAACACATACCGAATATTCCAGTATTATATTTATTGGTTTCTTATTAAAGCGATACCAACGTAATTACATCTAATTTAAGTTTTTCGAGGAACTAATTTGTTTTGTTATAAGCAGCAATTGTATTAAAGAGCAAACAAAAATCAATTTAAGATAAAAATTCCGTAAGCTATCTTTGTAGTCTTTTTGAAAGCGATCTATATACATATATACTATATACATATATGTATATATATATATTTATTGTATATATGTATGGTTACATATACAAATATATATGAGTTTTTTTTTTTTTTTTGTATATGAACGTATTTATGTACAAATATTTTTTATATTGATTATTGTAGACATAAAAAATATTATTATTAGGCATTGATATTAAAAGCTTTTATTAAAATTTACATATTCTTACGACGACTAATGATGGCCATCTTTATATTATTGTTAGCAAGGTCAGCAAGTATGGCCAATAATAATCATAATTTTGATACTAAAAAAAATTATGCTAAACAATATATCATTAAGATTTATAAAAAAGAAGAAAAAAAAAAAAAAAAAAAAAAATATTGCCTTGAAGGCTAAGGAACTGGTTCTATTGGGAATTGATTATTATAGAAAAATAGGGACTTTAGATATATAAGTTTTTCGCATTTCAAAGTTACCTTTTAAAACGTTAACTACATTAGTTGTACCTGTATCTAAGTATGTTTTGTATGTATACCTGAGTTCGAGTGGGTGAATCTTAAACATAAACGAGTAATAAAAAAAACAAAAAAACTTTAGCGTTGTATCAAAACCGCTTTCGCGTACTTTTTATATCATTTTCGAACTCAATTCTGCCAAATTTTATAGATCTATTTGTTATACTTCACAGATTGTTAGGTCGTCTGGAAAGCTTTGTCGCATAACATATTGGTCTTTGAATATGTTTGATGTGTACCTCAATAATCCATTTACTTACATTGAGCGCAAAATAGACGGTTTCATTTGAGATTGAAATCTTTAGAATGAAATTTGCTTGAAAGCTGTTTTTTCCAGACGACCTGGACGAAGATCTACAACTACCTCTCAACAACGTGTCATAAAAGTTTTCACAAGCAACCGAAACCTCGCTTCCTTTGTACAGATGATACCAAAGGCAATGCTTTCAATGCACTTTAGTCACTGTGCATTTCGTATCTAGCTAACGAAGAGTATTGGCAGTAGCCCTGTTATGTCGCATGAGACCCCACCGCTGCATCTGTGCGTCTGAGCAACATTGCGGCTATCGACGTGCATAATTCTTGCCACGCGCGTATATATACTGAACGCTCCGAATTCGGCACCAGCTGGAATCATTGATGAACTTTCATAAAGATCTTTAATCCACTTTATATCTTTTTTTTTTTACTTTTCACTAATACGTAATTAATTTGCCAAGAAGATATAAAAAGCGATCTGAATGAAAAATAAATTAAATATTGGGAATACGAGCCATGTCCAGTCTAGCTTGGCATAGGAGTTGATATAACATAATGTCTTGGAAGTATGACACTACTTAGAAGGCGTTAGAATGAAAGAGGTGTGTTCATGCTTACTTTCCTAAATGGCAGGCCCGCGCTACAAACTTTCGTAACGCTACCGGCGCTTCAGCTATACAGGCGAAAATCGTCTTGGCGGAGTTTTGTGAAATTTTGTGGCGAAAATTTTAATCGGCGGTCTCTGAAGAAGGTGCTCGTAATCAATTCGAATTGTATTTAACCTCAAAAGGAAGAGATCAACTGCTTCGAAAAATTTACGCAAACTTGCGATGGATAGAAAAAGTTTGTTTTACGCCATGAATTTATAAATAATCCCATTAAAGTGTTTAATAGACTCACTAGTTCCACCGCATATTTCCGCTAGTGGACCCCTAGAAAATCTAAATTAATAATACACACCTTTATATTCAGAAAAGAAACTCGCTTGCTGATCTTGTTATATACATGTCTTCTGCGATTAAGCTGACGACGTGAAAAATGAAGTTGCTTTAGATTTCGTTTGAAAATTTATACAGTCGCCCTTATAGATCTTATAGATTTTTGAGTTCTGGATAATCAAAGTACTTCCGAGACATCTCATGAAGATCAGATAACACTGCGAACAAAAGCTGGGCAGGTAGAAATCGGACGGAGCTAAATAAAGGTGACACTAAAATAAAGCAAGAGCGGAACAATGCGACTTGATGTATTGCGATGCGATCGCCAAGAGTTGTCTTTCCTAATATTCTGAACCAGCCACTCATATATACAATACTCATACATGCAGTAACACTCAAATAGTGTTTTTTGCTAACAGAACGTGACGTAAGAAAAACTGTTCCAAAATGAACCATATCCGAATATTAATGAAGAAATATTAATCGGATTGATTTTTAATCGTAGTCAGATTCGCGATCAATAGGCGAGCATTAAGTTCTTAGTTGTGTAAAATCCCTAACTTGCTACTTTATTGAATAAATGCACACAGTTGCGGCTCACTTATACTTATACGATTCCATTATGAAAACACCAAAGCTAACACGTAAGGTGGCCAGAAGAGTGTAAATGTTGCATAAATGCTGAACATCCGCCGACTTGCGTGTCAGATTTTACTGAATGTATTGTCTGCCAATGCCACTCGATATTAGTTAAGGTAAGAGGAATATTTATGATATTTTGGAGGAAGAGTTTACTTGTACCTTTAAAACCTAGTACTTTTTTCAATCAAAGTTTGGCAACAAAATTTGAGTTCTTGAGAACATAGACCTCCCCGTGTTGCTAGTGCGCAGTGGGTACATACTCCCACGCAATTCTATTCATCGAAATATAATTCCATTTAACGAAAAAAGTATAACTAAGAAAAATTTCTTCATAATGATTGCAGGATAATGTAGTGAAAACGTTATAATTGATCACGGCCGGGCATCAAATAGTCTACACTACCTCACTTAATACAGTTACCCATATAAACACTTTTAAAAGCAAAGATTTGCATAGGAGGCGGTCGAAAAGCGATGGTGTCGACACGAACTGTTTTCAATAGCATTCGTGGTTGGAACGAAACGCGTTGGTGTATATCTCAAAAATTCCACCCTATGTTGAACATGAAACAACAAAACGGACAAACGGACAGACAAGATTAGACCGATTCAGAAAGTTGTTCTGTTTCGGATGATAAAAGTTGAATATCTCCCAATACCTTGTGAGTGTTGTGTACGTCCTTGCTTGCTACGACTGGTGTAGGGCATAATTACCTTTCCTCCTTAATCGATTTGAGACAAAAATAAAAAATAAAATTTCAGTAAATATGAAGACAAAATTCTTCTCTTAATATGACCGAATGAGACGCAGCTGTTCACTGCTGAATTACATTTTCGTATTATATTATTCGGTATCGCTTAAGCAGGAATTATTACGCGTATGCAGTTAATTCAAACACATTCATGTTTATGTAATACCTCAAGTCTATCGTTGCAGTAAGACGAAGAATTATAAATTTAATATAATGTATTTATGTAACGGCTGATGGCTGATTGTCGATGGCCGTAGAATATTTGTGCTTTCTGTACTTACCTTCAAGATAGTCTGCATATATGCTAGTGTTGTGTTCGCCCTCATACAAATTTACTCCATTTTTAATTATTAATATTTCACAGATTACTTCGTCAACATTTACAGTCTCTTTATACATGTAAGTAAGTATTTGTAGTTTAACTTTCTTATTTTTCGTTCATTGGAATTTAAATGATTAACATTTTATTTCTGTTTTAATTCACTTCTTATAAGATTGATTTCTGTTAATGATTGAAGAGACGAAAAACAAAAAAAAAAAAAACATTGCATATATTGCGCTTATTTATATATGTATACATATATATATATCTGCACTTAAATCGTTTACTTTAAACAATGCGAGCTAAAATAATTTATTTGTCTATAAACCGCGTTTTAAACTAAATCAATATAATAAATAATTTGAAGTAAATAAAACTAACTAACGTCTTAGAATAAGTTTCTATAGATTTTAATACCAAATAGAATCTTCGCATTTTTATTGAATTTCATTCAACTACCCGCTTCATTACGGTGGCTGACGGTTGCTTATTAACAAGAGCTAACTATAAATACTTATCGTAAGCAATATAATAATAAATAGCTATTGGACGGATTGAATGAGGCAATTAGGAGAATACTAACAACGTTATCAGCTATAGTAGAGCAAATAGAGAACATTGGATGGCAAAAGATTGAAATGAAAGGTGAATGGTGCGGTTTAAACGGAAACAACATATAAACCTGCAACAAATTAATTGAAGACATGATAGCATGTATTTCAGCCGATGGACGGTGTTTAGTGAAAGGCTCGTATATAACTCAATAATGATGTTGTCTTTAAGTGAGTGTACCAAGACTTTACCAAGTACGAGTTGGAAAAAGTAGTAGCTGAGTAGGCGCGTAAGATAATATGTGTGGGTGTGGCGATTGGCGAAATTCCTGCTATTCCTGCGCCATCTAACTGTTAATCAATAAGCAGTAAGCTTGGAGGAGAATTTCCACTATTGAGGTAGCCGGTAAGAAAGCCCGCCTACACGAATTGAAGGGATTTACCTTATAAATGCAACACGATGACGGTCAGAAAAAAGTGAGAAAAGAGGAAGAGATAGGAAGATGGCCGCAGCTTAATGGGAGAGCCAATAATCGGTAAGCCGTATACGTTTTCCGACTGAGCACTGGCTGCAGCTACGACCAAAGGAAACTCGACTCCGCTGAGATTTGAACCGGCGAACACTGAAATTATTGCGATTCCTTTCCATTTCAACTAAATGCATCTAATAAAATTTATAAAAGATATTTTCGCACAGAATAGCTGGTTGTATTCCCAGTTTTATTTGAGTTCAGTTCAGTTTGCCAAATTGTGCTAATGTCAGTCTATAGTTGCTGCAATCGTCACAATTACCAAATAAATTAATTATTTCTTAGGGAAAAGTGTGAAGCTATCATTCGCAGTGGTTCCGTACCAAAAATCGTGGAACACTGGAGTTAGGAGACCCCACTGATGGTCGTAACGCAAATTTAACGAGTCAATAACCGGTATTTGAAGCCTTTGACTTTTCAAAAAATCAATTACCATACACTGGTTGTTATAGCGAATCCTATCAGGGTATGGACGCTTCGTCTCTTAAGGGGAATCGCAGGCGATTCGTGATTGTGATTTCGAATTCTACAAAAGTAAATCAGGTAAATGGATTATAGGATGCCACGGCCCACCATTAAATACCCCACACCTCTTCCCTTAATACATTTATTCATACAATGACTTTTCGAAACAAGGCATGCCGTGGAAAGTGGTAGAAAAACTAGTTTAATTTGAACTATTACCACAACTGTTCGTCCTTGAACCCAAAACATCTCAATGTTTTCATTAAAATATCCAAAAATTGCGACATCTATACTGAACACAAGAATACAAGAAGGACAGGCGAACAAATTGAAATGATAAAAAGTGAATCTGTCTCAACTTCTTGGGGGGCGTTGTGTCTGTCCGAATAAACTTAACATAACCATACCGCAAGTACGGAAGGGTATAAAACTCTCCAAAAAATATGTTTTTGTTAATGGAATGGATTTGCATTTGGCTCAGTTATTGAAGAAATTATCAAGTGTGACACTTTGCTTACTGTTGCGGAACACTATGCGCAGTTTCACAACGCATTTCTGAACGAAATTGTAGGTAAATTTGGACGTTTCTATCCAAAAGAAGGGCTTCCTTTCTGACTATGGCCCAAATTTCTGGACACTCTTTTTAGCAGTGAAGTAAGACAACAAATGTTGAAAATTTCTAATACGAAATAATAAAAAAATTTAAGTTCAAAGTTTAAGTGAGCCTTAAAAATCCATCGTGTACGGATTAGAGTTAAAAAGGATTTGTCCTCGCTACTCAGTTTTAATAGAAACTGAGAATGGGTCCAGCGTTGCCAGTTTTCAAATTTTTGAAATGTTCCTGTTTTTGTTAAGTTTCTCAGCCATTATTGCATCGCTTTTCCTATCAACACCAAAATTCTCGAAAAAGGTTTCCTGAGATAGACAAAACGAGATCTATTTCTTAAATCTTTATCGTAATGTTACTTACGCTAGATAGTAAAGTAAGCCCGCAAATGTTTTTGAAGGAATACGAAACTTGTATAGATACACATTTAAAGCAACAATAGTCAGATAAAAATATCAAGAAGATAACGACGCAGTAATGTGACACAAAAAATGCAATTAAATATATTTGTCTAAAATTGGGTAAAATGTACAGGGGCTTGTCGTCTAATTTCGCTATCTATACAGGCTATTAAAAGTTAAATGCACAATGGATTAATCATGACTAACACAATAATTTTTTCCGATGACGGGAAACTCGTCATAGAGAAGTTAGCGAAAGTATAGGAAAATTATTGCTTACGGATTCTTTCTTGTATCTATCTACTCACACTGCTGTGAAGTGAATAAGTGTGGAATGGTCTATCGAAAGCAAAAGTTTAATGGCGTTTCAAGAAGTATTCATTAACCAAATGCAAGCCTGGCTTTACTCGTCGTAATGCCCAAACCATTACAGTTCAAGTTATTTAGACGTAGCCGCGGGGAAATATCACTGCGTATGATAGCTGCATGTGGTTGTACTGCTTACAAAGCATCTACATTGAGAGAGTCTCCCTCTTAGCTGTTAGTGAGGACCCTTTGACTAATTTATTGGTGGCCGTGTTTATCCAAAAATTTTGAGGGCGTTAAATAATGTTTTGATAAGGGCGTTTCGTCTGGTCCATAAGGGAGGAAATGGCTCATCGCAATTACTGGCACCGATTTTATCTAATATCTACTACATCGGGCACCGTGGAACTAAACAGTAATTATAGCAATTTACAACTTAAGTTAATAAAAAAACAAAACAATGTAAAGCTATTTTAATAAAATTTTCACTATTAGATCTGTGCTTATCAGGTATTAGAACGATACACGTAAGTAACAGTTTAATAAAGCTTTCAAGCAATGTGTGCGTTTTTGCACTCAGTTTCCTATTTAACTCTGTTTTGTTATATATTTTTGAATATCTGTAATTTCTAGGTTAGTAATGGTCGGAGTGATATGGAAATTCTCGCTAACATACAAAATGGTATTCATTCGCTCTTAAGAGCAGCCGCCTTTCTCCCTTACGCTAAAAATTACAAGAAAACGAAGAAAATGTTTGACAAAAGGACAAATAAATATATTTAGAAAACTGGTTTAGAAGTAGATCGTGCGATCTTGACTAATCGCTAAATATATTGTCTATGCCTTGCTAAAGAGAAATATAAAAAATTAAATTATAAATCTGTATAGGGTCAATCCGTGCTAGTCCTTGACGACTTTAGGTTGAGAATTTACTAAATTCATAATAATAATAGTAACGATAATAGGATATTTTCATCATGGAATCTTCACTTGGTATTCAAATCTAACGCAAGCTTAAACTTGGAAGCATGTAATTCTAAAACACTAAGATTAATGCTTTTATGGCTTGTTTTTTATGCGGCCTTTGTTGTATTTTTTTTTGAGAATTAGAGTAATTCCGCTTAACTGCCAAATATGTCTTGAATTTTTTCGAGGAATACATTTCTCTTTTGGTATCAATTCTTTTTTTTATTTTTTTATTTTTTTTTTGGGCATATCTCAACTTTAAAACGTTATCTTAATGAGATTATAAGTGCTTTAGAAAGTATTTGGGATAGAAAATTAAAATGAAAACTACAATTACTTTTTTGCTAAGCTAATAATATGAGTAGAAAACTATAAGACTTCGTGATATTTAATAAATTAATTTTTCATTTCATAACAACTCAAATGCCAGAATTATGGCATAGACGGACGTAAAAAATGTACATTAAAAAGTTTGATTTTAACAAAATGGCTTGATTTGATTCAATATAGAATTTGTTATTAAGCAAAATGTTGAGAGAGTTTCACTATAGTCTTCTATACATTTATCTTTATTCTAAGCTTTACATGAGAGGCTAAGCAAGTTTAAGCAGTGGTACAAAAAATAATACCTTATTATTGGTATTATTTACGTATTTTTTTTTTTTTGGCGGATTTGCGCCAATTTTTGGCGAATTTCAAACATTATTACAAAGTAAATGATTATGATCTTGCCATCGGCATCATATAATTTTTATTTTTATCTTTTTTTTTTTTTTCATTAATAAATAACAACAACGAAAATTACAAAGCATTGACATGAACACGCGTATACACGTAAACAAACAAGCAGAATCTCTGTTAAATCTCGTAGATGGAAATATCAGAAGCGAAAAACAATAATAATAAAAAAAAAAAATAAAAAAATTATAATAATAATTTGCCCATGTGTGCTAATAAAAAGAAAATAAGTCACTTCTGTTTGCAGTCGCTGTTGATGTTCTTGTTGTTCTTACTACTTTTGTTACTATTATTCTTGTTATTGTTGTTGTGATTGTTTGTCACAGCTTGATTAATAAAATGCACAACTTCCGTTTATTAATAATTTTTTGCACTATTTCTCTGATTTGTTGTAGCGTTTTTTTCTTTCTCCGTAATATTTTATCATAATAATAATTTATTTTTATTAGTTTTTCTTTGAGGGATTTAGCGGTAGTAAGTGTAGGTATGAATGTCGATAAAAATATATGTATATAAAATCGTTTATGTATGTGTTTTTATATGTATGTATGTGTGCGGGTAAGCGCAGTGCAGGTTTCATTCTATGCACAAGTATTTAAGTATTGTTTTGTTGTTATGGCAGCTGATGTTGTTGGAAAAAATTTGTATTAGTGAATGAGTTTGTTGTTGTTGTTGTTGTTGTTGTAATATATTATTTTTTCGGTGTTTTTCTATATATATTTTTTTTTTTTTTTTTTTTTTGTGTTCTGTTTGTCATACTTTTTCAGTGCGAAATGTGACACGATTATAAAAATGCATTTTATATAAATCAGTGCTGTTTGTGCCATATGCGTGTGTATGTAAGTATGTTATTCTTTGAATGTTCGTTCGTTTGAATGTCTAAATTTACTTGTATATATGTGTGTGTTTGTGTGTGTTTGTGTTTGTGTGTGTGTAACGCTTACGTTAAGTTTACTTATTTTTACGTTAGTGTGTAGGCAATTCATTTATAATGTGAGTCAAGTGCCGGCTTGTATGTCGTGCATTCATTGCAACGAAAATTCGTAATAATCGTAATAATGAAAACGATGATCATTACGATGATGACGTTTGTTTACTGTCACTAGTTTCCATCTAAGAGGTTTAAGCGTACAATAATTTTGTTTTATGTGAGAGTTGGTTTGTTTCTGTGTTTTCGTTTTTTCTTTGACTAATTTTTCGCAAAACAAAAAAATAAAAATAAAAATGAAAGGACAGACGGAAAAGATTAATTTTAATAATTTCTTTATACATTATTCCAACAGGCAGAGGCATAAATTAAGAATTAATTGAAGATTTCAGGAAAATAACAGAAAATACTCATAGTAATAATAACAATAATAATAATGAGAAGAACTTTTAATCGCTTTCGCTTATCCATTTAAAGTCTTTCGAGATTTGTTTTATTTGTTAATTAATTTTCACAAAAATGATTAATTAAAAGAAAGGCTTACGCTCTTTTTTCTCAAGTCACTTAAAAAAAAGAACACTTGAAAATATTTAGTTTTATTTTTTTGAAGAACAATTCTCCTTTTTTTTTTTTTCTTGGGGATATATTGTTATTGTTTTATTAAGAATATATTTTTTTTAAAACGTCTTTATTATTATTATTATTTTTTTTTTGCGGAAACTACACAAATATATATATATAGAGAGAAGTAATGAAATAATTATTATTATTGAAATTCGCTTGTGTGTATGTATTCGTGTATAACCGTAACAAAAATTGTACTTGTTACCCGCCTGATTGCTAAAAGCGTACTGACTGTGATTATTATTACGGCGTAACAAGAGCCGGAGTAAGTTAAGTTAAATCGTACATGTCTGTACATGTGCTGTATCTGTGTGTCTTGTACTCGCACTCAACAACAACTAAAAGGAAAAAGTAACCAAAAAATCATAATAACTACACACACGGAATAAGCAAAAAAAAAAAAAAAATAAAAATAAAATAAAGATAAAAATAAAAAAACAAAAAAAAAAGAAATACACAAATACCATCGCACAAGCAGGCGTACACATACATACTTGCAATATATATGTTTATACGAATACTAACTCAAACTGAACACAACCGAACGAACACACAACGCGCGCACACACACACACACACACACACACACACACAGAGCGCATAGAACAAATAAGATACAAGACTTGTACTCGAACTCGTGGATACTTTTTTGTTCATTTGAACATTTTGGTTTGTATGGATGTATGTTTGTGCATACAGATGACGTCCACCGAAAAGAAAAAACAAACCATTCTTATGTATGTTCATACATACACTTTTACGTGTACACTTACTAAACACATCATACCGAATAAAATTAAATTGATACACACTTGCAAACAAACATATATTAACACTTATAGCTTATTTTGTAGTTAGTTGTTGTTCATATTGTGTAAATACATACATTTATGCCGATTTTTTGTCCTCCCATACGCTTTCTGTATGTCATTCAAACATAAAACAACAATACTAATAACAATAACAAGAACAACAACTATGTAAAACACACACAAAATTTAGATGGGCAAACAAACGAATAAACGACAGACGGAAAAATAAGTAAGACAACCAACGTACTAGTCTAGTCATTATTAACTTAATCATCGTCATTATCATCTTCATACACATGTGATGAGTGACGTTTATTATTGTTGTTGGTCTCGTTTGTGATATGAATAGAATGTTCTCTTTAACTCTCTTAACACTTGCATAGTTTTGTTGTTCTATTCTTAAGCTGAACTATTACTCATCACCATTGTTATTACTCTTTCTTTAACATTATTGTGCGTTCTCTCTCTCTCTCTCTCTCTCTCTCTCAGTCTCTTTTCATTCCTTTTTCACCCACCTACACTTATCCACTTAAAGTGTATTGAGTCTGTAAACAAATTTCGCTTACAACTGGCAATGCAACCGTTTTCTCTTTAATCCAACCACAAACAAACGTATTTTAAATCTCTTAGTTTTGTACTTCATTAACTCCAATACCTCTCTATATATAGCTCATTATTACGATTTTCTAGTTTTTTGTTTTGTTTCTTCGTTTCGTTGCTCTTGCGATTGCCTAACTTGCTCTTTAAATAAATTTTTACATATGTGTAAGTAATTCGTTGATATTTTTGCTTTGTTTCCCTTCTGTTGCAAGTAATTTGTTCTGATTGTGTTCGATGCAAACATGTGGTTGATTTTGTATGTTTGATTATGTGTGATAGTAAATATATATATAGTAAATATATATATATATATATATATATTTAATACTGTAATCCTTTTTCAAATAGATTTTTTATAGTTTTCACGTTACATGCAGAAAAGTATATTAAATTTCGTTTGGGAAATGCGTGTTTGCCCCTCACCCACTATTGCATTCGCCCCTACACTCACGACATTATTTTTCTCATGAGCCTGCGCGCGTTGTTCTTTCGATATGGCCTTAAGAAACCTGTTTTACGTAACTGTGGCCGAGTAGGTTAGGATCGCGGCTAGCAAGTCAGTGTTCGCGGGTTCAAACCTCAAATGCGCCAGAGTTTTTTTTTTTTTTTTTTTTTTTTGGCCATGGTACTAATGCTATGAGCTCGGTCGATAAAGATATAAAACTTACGAATTCGACAGCTACCCGCTAAGCTGCAGTTATTACCACCATACCGTTTTCTCTTTCCTCATTTCTTTCTGTACCATTGCCGTGTTATTGCGCGAAAAGGGCACAAAGCCGGAGTGGTTGGTTCGTAGTGCTTTTGCATTCGCCAAAATCATGCTACATATTCGATAGAATCAATTGATTGTAATGCATTATATGTTGTTAACACTTGTCTTTCACTGTCAGAAAAATTATTCGAGTACGATAAAGTAGTTTTGCAGCTTAACAGTACACGATCGCCTATAGCAAATATCGGCTATCGTTTGAATTGCAATTTGTTACACTCTTGACATGTATTTTCGAGAAGAATTTAAGTTGAACTTAAGCACTCAAAATATTGGATTTTCCGGGGTCAGCTTTACGGGACGACAATACTTTGAACTTTGATTTTTGTATCGTTATTATAAATCAACGTTCAGCTCTATGAAAAAAGTTGTAAATACATAGACGGCCTTCATTAACTTAGCTCCTTTTGTAGTCTTAAATGTTAAATTCCCTCGAGTAAAACACGCGTACATTTGTTACAATAGCAGTGCTTAAGTCCTCATAACTAACCAATATGTAAATGTGAAACCAGAATTTGCCAAAAGGCGGAGAAAAATTATGGTTTTTAAATTTTTTATGCTTTTTCTATAGTTATATGAACATATATAGCAGCGCAACTACGACAATGTCGAGTTTTGTGTCAAATAATAAGCGTTCGCCGACATAAGTTGTTCTTTGCCCGAAGTATACAAACAAAAAATATTCTTTTTGCTTCGCATTCTAACTTGGAATGAAATGGACATCTATTTTGAGAATTTTAGGTGTAAAAATTCCTGGTTAAATCCAGACATAGCATCCGCAACGGCTGCGAAACCGAATCACTTGACAGGAAGATGATATTCTGTTCTGATATTTGATTAAATCAGACGAACGTGGACCGTTATTAGTTATTTAAGTCTGATAAAACAGTTACTACGAAATGCGGCCAACAATGTCGACCAATTTGAACGTTCCTCAGTTTAAAAGACGAGCGAAATATCAAAGAGATCAATACAAGATGATTTTTTAGATCGCATCCGTTCATCGATTCATAAGGAAGAGCCGGTTCAGCTGCGAATTGTTCAGAAAACTCGAATCTTTCCGACTTGAGATTTACTTGCTCAGCAGTGTTTAACTTCTTACGAAAATGTCCCGAGAAATGGTGTCGCCTTAAACAAGCTGGCTTGGCATTCATAAATTGCCGGGCAGTTGGAGGAAATGTGTGGCTAGCGATGGAAAATATTTCAAATAAAGTATTATTTTATCATTTTCACGCAGTACGCGTTTCTCTTATGTCCAAAAATTCCAAAAATGCATTCCAATGGTTCAATGTATATGGTGTTATGTGTGGAATAGTACATCGGATAAATGGTCTCCGCAGCTTTGCTGGCACTTACGCACTCTTTTATCGGAACTCATCCTATAAGAAGAAGTCCAATAGTGTTAAATCACATGTGGCATCGTAGCCTCCTGCATGTGGCAGCATTTGGTTGAAACCAGATGTCATTCACATGAATATCATTTAATTTAGGGAAAAATAACTGGATTATCGAGTACCAGTAACAGTCGTTGCTTGATCAAACCCCTTTTCGAAGAAGTATAGTCCAATTATGGTCCGCACCAAATGGTGACATGTTGTGAATGCATTTGTTTTTCGACAATCATATGTTCGTTTTCTGAACCTCAAATATGACAATTAAGACCATTAACAAAGCCATCAGGCTGACCATATTTTGTGTAAAATTTGCGAAAAGTCGTCTGCAAACGTTTATTATTATTGAAATATTGTACGACAATAGAAACGCATTGCATCGTCATGCAAAGCTCCATTTCTACTAAGCACACTAACAACTATCAAAATGGTTTTTTCTCGGCTACAAACAAAGGTCAACAAATGCCAGGATACTTGGATAATAAAAACGGTAAAAGATTTATATTTATTTGGTATTTTTAACAATCTGGTTC